TTCCAAAGGTTAGGGTGTTTCTTATCTCCATTCCAGGGAGTAAAGATTATGTAGCTAAAGTGTGATTGTTCGTAGTTAAAGTGATTAACTACTCCTGGCACTTAGTTAAAGGGGTTTTATCCCTCCCTAACTTCAGGGGGAAATCCCTACCTGGGGAAACAACCTTTCTCGGAGAGGTGACCTTGGTTAAAACACATAGTGCCAAGAAGGTGAGCAAACATATTAAGAACAGTATGCCATATATGCCAGGTCCCTTGAAACAGCAAGGATGGACCGGCTCCCGGCAGGTGTATGTGTTTTTTAAAGTAACATATTGTGCGCAGCAGCTTTTATTGTATTTTTATGTGTTTTTATTGATGTCAGAGAGGAAGGGAGAGGGCGAGGGAGAGAAACATCAATGATGAGAGAAAATCATGGATCGGCTGCCTCCTGCACGTCCCACACTGGGGATGGAGCCGGCAACCCAGGTACATGCCCTTGACCAGATCGAACCCGGGACCCTTCAGTCCGCAGGCCGACGCTCTATCCACGGAGCAGCCGGCTAGGGCATGTGTGTGTTTTTGATAAATGCCCAGAAATGGAGTCGCTGGGTCCTATGGTAATTCTGCTTTTGGGGTTTCTTTGAGGAACCTCCACACTGTTTTCCATAGTGGCCGCACCAGCGAGCCTCTCTGCAGCCCGTTACTGTCTAAAGGCAGCGCGGTCGCCGCTCCCCACGCCCTGCAGAGAGGCCTCCCGTCTGGCTGGAGCCGTCTCCGTAGCCTCGGCTTGTTCCAGCTGCCAGCCCCCCTCCCCACGCCCAGGCGGTTTGCAGTTTGTGGCTCTAGTGCTACCCCAGGGCCTTTGCACCTGCTCCTGCCTCAGCCCGGAGAGCTCTCTCCTCCTCTCCTCCCATGGCTGGTTCCGTTCACCCTCTGCTCCTAGGGCAGCGCCCGGCCCTCCCCCCGCAGCGCTCATCCTGGCGCTTCAGTGTGTGGCTGTGGCCACGTCAGCCTGGAGCTCCGTGTGCGTTACGTGCAGCGCAGTCCTCATGCCGGGTGGGGCTCAGGGTGCG